AGAAGGATGTGCAGCTATGACAGACAACTATGTACTGGGGCTTTGGGGGAAAAATAAATAAATAAAATCTTTAAAAAAAAAAAAAAAAAAAAAAGCAGCCGGGTAGACCTAGAAAATCACGATTGACAGACAAGGATCGTCAATGGATCTGGTGGGTGACTGAAGAAAAACAGGCTACTTATGTAATCTCAGAGTAACCACCCAGAAGACACAGGGAAAATAGTTTACAGTGGAAAAACCTGGCAGACACCACTTTGACCAACTGATTGAAGTTAACACCACCAGCAATGGAACAAAGAGACGTCCTGTGCCTCCCGATATGATGCACCAAGGACACCACAGCACTTCTGAGTATTCCTGCCAAAAATGCATAGCCTGAATCTAATCGTGAGAAAACGTCAGTCACCCAAACACAGATTCACATTCTACAAAATAACTGACCAGGCCTCTTCAGAAATGTCAAGTCATGAAGGACAAAGACAGACTGAGGATTTGTTCAGATTAAAGGAGACTAAAGAGACAGGACAACTAAATGCAATGTGTGACTGGATTGGATCCTGGACCAGAAAACAATTGATTTTTTTTGCTTATAAAGGTCATTATTGAGATAATTGGAAAAATTTAATCAAGTCTGCAGATTATAGTAATATTATATCAATGTCAATTTCCTGATTTTGATCATTGTATTGTGGTCATATAAGAGAATTGCTTGTTTTTCAGGAAATAAACACTAAAGTATTTAGAGGTAAATGTATATCATATTTGCAATTTTCAAACAGTTCATATACATATAGATACAGAGAAAGAAATGAGAGAGAGAATGATAAAGTTAATTGGTAAATGTTAATATCTGGGGACCAGGTGAAGCATATAAGAAATTCTTTGTATTGCTCTTGCAACTTTTCTGTAAGTCTGAAATTATTTCAAAACAAAAGTTTAAAAACAAAATAAATGTTTGCTGGATAAAAGCATGAGGAATTATCTAGCATAGTCAGGGAATTAGTAGGCATTTGGTGTGTGGTGGTCATTATTAGTGCAGAGGCTGTCTTGTGGGGGCTGTGCATTGCCCCTTAACCAGAGGTGTCAGAATGTTCTAGGCCAGAGTTTTTCAAACATTCATGTGCAAGAGAATCACCTGGAGATCTTGTTCAGTGCGGGCTCTGGCGCAGGTCCAGGTGCATTTCTAACATGCTGCCTTTCTGCTGGTCTGGGGATCGCCCTTTGGGTCACAGGAGGGTAGCCACAGCTGGGATCTAGGCCAAGGGTTCAGGAGCCTGGCTGCACATTAGGACTGCCAGAAGAACCGGCTTTAATTGATCTTCCCAGGTGATTCTAATGTGCAGCCAGGATTAGACCTTTACATTGTTGCCTGCATCTGTCTCCTCCTTTCCGCCATCCCAAATTCACCCCTAAGTCTGGGTGCTGCCATGGCTTCCAGGCTGGATTCTTTGCTGCTGCTTTACGCAATCCGATACCCAGAAACTAGGTGAATCTCCCTGCTCCTCCACAGTTCAAACACTTGCGTGCCAGTCAAGTGCAAACTCCTCACCCAGGCATCAAGCCCTCTGCAGTGCAGCAGTAACCCACTTTTCCTGGCTGCTCTCCAGGGCTCCCCCTTGATACTCGGCTTCCGGGAGAGCGGCGTTCGCCATCCTGCAGCCCAGGTTCCACCTCCACACGTTTGCGTTGGTCACCACCTCACACACGCACAGTACCCGTCTTAAGTCTCACTCTGTCTCCAGTAAGAACCACCACTTAGTTGCTTCCTCCATGGGGCTTGTGCTGCTGATGTCCAGAGCCCTCCTCTCGCTGAGCCCACCCGGCGCCCACTTTCCTCTAGGAGAGAGAGCTGGTGGAGAGCCTGGTGGCTCAGACAGACTCTCCTCAGAACAGGGGAGAAAGGGTCACTGCAGCTGGGACAGAGGTCATCCCGTTCCTGTACAGCCAGGACAGGTCTCAGCAGCCACCTGTGCATGGGAAAAGGCAGGGAAGGGACAACGTGGGTGTTGCCCTGGAATTCTGGCCTGGCACTCAATTCCCCATCCCCTGCCTGCCTCCCAACGACCCACCCACCCACTCCTCGCCTCCCTCCTTCAGCCCAGCATGTGGTTAGGATCTGAAGGACCTGGAAGAAAATAGATAACAGGGAGGTGCCACCTGGGTTGTCCCCCCGGGGCAGGGGGGGCGGGGGCTGGCCTATGAGAGAAGCCACATTTGTTAGTGGTTGAAAAACCAATTTGAGAAGGGGGACATAGGACCTGGGAGACACGAGGAGACCATCTCCTTCTCGGGTTCTCCTACCTCCACGGCCTCTCACTGGGCCCGCCCCGTCTCCAGGCCTCACTTTCCTAGGAAGAGACTTCCTCCTGATCCGGCACCGCCCATCGTCCCACGTGCCCTGGGGCTGATGAGCTAATTCCTCTTAAGATGCTTGGCTACCCAGGGATGGGGCTTCAGTGATCACGAGGATTAGGGGCAGAGCAGGTGCCTCAGTTCCCAGGAGAATCACAGCTGGAATCCGGGGGAGGAGCAGCTGCTCTTGGCTCAGATCAGCTTCAAGAGGTTCAGGGTCAAGTCCCCAGAGGCTTCTTAGGAAGAAGGCTCATCCCCACCTCTGGCTCCCGCTCAGGTTGTTTGTCTCTCCCTCGATGTCCAGGAGGAAACTTCCAGGAGAGACTCATCCCACTCTCTTGAAGAGAAGATAGCCCTTCCTCAGAAGCTCTAGAAGATTTGCACCCTCAGTCTCCCTGCAGATCCCTTTTGGCTGGGGAGTTTTCAGATTCCTGGCCCTGCTGAGTTCCAGAGAGAGAGGCAGGAACTTGAAAGCAAATATGAGGTACACCCCTAAAAGAGAGGAACACCCCATTCCTGGATCTGGGACTGTCCTCCCCACTCCATCCTGCCTCTCTAGTCTTGGCTACATTCTAAGTCCCTCCAGGAAGAAGCTATCCTCCTGCCACCAGAGCCCCCTCACTACCACCTCCTCCCCTGTCCTCCAGAACTCCCTTGGGCTGCCCCATGCAGGTCAATACACAGCCCCCGATCTTGCTTTCTGCCTCCAAGTCCCAGCTCCCGGGTGACTGTAAGAACCTATTTGCCAGGCTCTTACAAACAAATGTTTACAATAACCATAATTTTCCAATCCCCAATTAAGACCTGACAAATAACTTTAAGGTCACTTTTGGGTAGAAGAGGCAATTTGGGTGCTAAAATATTATAGTTTGAAATGATTAGAGGAATTATGGTTAGGTTAGAATGGTGACAGGAATTACAGAGGAAATAAGTCAAAATATTTGAAATTGAGGCTGTCTTAGAAAATCCAAGACAGATAGTCACTGTACATATATTCTCATAACTCCAGGCTAGGCACTCAGTAAATACTTGAATCTTCCTTCTCCTTGACATTTACTCCCTGTTTTTCCCACCCTCTCACATCCATTCCCCAATCAACACATTACATGGTTTTTCCATGAGTCAATCTTTATTGGTTTTTGAAGTAATGAATTATTGACATAAGGCTCACTGAGTTTCAAAGCAAATAACAGAAGAAAACATAGATCATGCAGGTGGGAAGACCCAATGGGGAAGAATCCCCAAGCAGCTGTGACCCTCACCTGTGAGCTGGGTCTTGCTTGTGAGGACTCTGCAGCCAAGACCCAGCCCAGCTGAGACAGGCTGCATGGACCTGAAGGTGACTGAGCTACATCTCAGGGGATCTGAAAGGGTCCTCTCTCAAAGACAACCATGTCTAGCCTTCTTGGAACCTTCTTTTAGCCTTTGAGTCTTTGCCACTGATAGCAGCTTGACAAACATGAGGACCTTCTCTGCCTCTAAGAAAGCCAGCCTGCTCTCCCTCACCTGTGCCTTTTCAAATGGAAGCCACTCCCACCAGGGGCCGATTAAGGCCCCTGGAGAGGGAGGAGGAGGGGGAGGAGGAGGGCAAGAGTTGGTTTTAGAGGGTTGGCCAAGCCCAGTGACCCCCTGAGGGTGTATGCCCTTCCCCTCCACCGTGGTGGGTCTTCCCACCAATGTTTGGAGGTAAGGAAAAGGGGCTTCTCAACAGGAGAGCTGCTGCCGCCCTTCCTCCAAGGAGGGCTCTTCCTCTATGAGCTCCAGGTCAAACTCATCCTCCAGGGACCCTCCAACAGGCAGAAGGTGGAACTTCTTCCCTTTCAGGGTGCATGTGCGATGCTCGAAGTCTAGGACAGCATTGTGGTCCTGGAGCACGTCGGTACCAATGATGGCTTCTTCAGCACTTGCATTGGCCACCAGGAACTCTGCCTTCAGCTTCAGCTTGCCCAGGGACACCAGTGTATCCCAGATGCCCAGGATCTTCATTTCAGCCCCATTGGCTACTTTCACCACGTTCTCAAAGGGCCGCAGGGTGTCCAAGTCGCCATCGGTAACCTCCTCCCACAAGCTTGGGTGGACCACGGAGACCTGGGCCCCAGAGTCCACCAGGAACCTCACCGGCACTTCACCAATCTTCCCCTTGAGGTAATAGCCCTTGCCCATGCTGTTGGCAAAGACGATCTCCTTGGGCAGGTGGCCATGGGTGGTCCTGGACCCCCCAAAGGCATTCAGGAGGGTCTCTTTCACAGCCCCATAGTCCCCCTGGTCCTCAGGACTAAGTCCACTGTAGACCTCCAGGGCATCTCCCCTGAGGGACTCTTTCAGGAACCTTAGCTTGCTGCCATGGTCCCAATGGTTGAGGTTGTCAATGACCTCAAGACGGTGCAGCCAGAGGTGTGGGGCTATGTTGGCTCCATCAAAAGGCTCCGGGACGTAGGTACGCTCCCGGCGGCCCTCCTGGCTCCTGGCTCCGCTCCCGGCCATTCCTCTTCTCTCCTCTGGAACAGCAGCAGCAACCCACACCAAGCAGAGAAAGCCACAGAGTAGTGTTGGCGCAATCACGGTGGAGAACAAGGCCTCTCTAAGCGGAGTGTCGCTTAGGTGGCTGGCTTGGGGCAGGGAGAAGGTACCAGGCCAGAGTTGTCTGATCAACTGCTGGGCACAGAGGCAGACAGCTGCTGTGGCCTGCTCACTCTGCAGAGCCTTTTTGATGCCTTGCCTGAGCCCCCAGGGCTCCCCGTTCTCCTTTGTCCTGGAAGCTCCGCCCCTCCTCACCCCGCCCTCCTGCCAGCATCCTGCCCAACTAGCAGGATCAGTGCCTCACCCTTCTGCATCCATCCACGGGAATGGCACAGGCCAGCCCACGGTGCAAGACAGGCAGGCCAGCCTCAGTCAGAGGGGGCCTACTCGGGTACCCTCCCCAGCCTGTGTCCCAGAATAACAGATGAGGACACGGAGGATGTTATGACACTCAGGGGTTTGTCATCAGCTGGAGAAGGAAAGAAGAGGCAGGGACCAGAGGCTCATAAGCTTCTAGACTGGGGAAGCTCTTTTTGCCCTCAAATCCAAGTGACCACTGAGCAGCTAAAGGAAAGAAGCTTACATTTATTGTGCTCCTACTATGTGTGAGGCATGGGGTAGATGTTTCTCGTACATTCTAAACCAACTATGGAATCCCATAAGGAGGCAGACAGAGGAGGGTCCTAGAATCAAGAATGCACCGGGCCGGCCCCATAGCTTAGTGGTTAAGTGCACGCGCTCCGCTGCTGGCAGCTCGGGTTCGGATCCCAGGCGTGAACCGACACACCGCTTCTCTGGCCATGCTGAGGCCGCATCCCACACACAGCAACTAGAAGGATGTGCAGCTATGACATACAACTATCTACTGGGGCTTTGGGGGAAAAAAATAAAAAAATAAAAAGAATGCACAGAAATAGTTTTTTAAATGAGGGGACACACACACACATGCAAGCATTTTCGATGAACTCAATTGCTATTCTCCCTCATTGATCACACCTAATTCAGAGCCAGCACATTTCAGGCCAGGCCGTGCACCCTCATTAAGGCCCTGAAGCGGGCTGGTGCGGATCTTGAACTTCCTGGAGTGGACGCAGGAACCCAGGACCCGGCTCCAGCTCCAGTTCCACCTCTGGGCGGGCCCCACCCTCGGCTCCATGGGTGTTGTCTCCTCCCCCACTGTCCCCTCTCACCTTCTGGGACTCTTCCAAGAACCCCTTCCCCAGGTGCTGCAGCTCCCTCCCCCGCAACCCCTCAGCTGGTCATTTATGGAAAGAGCAGCCAGGAAATTTCACTCCCTTCTGTTCTAAAGGGGGAAACGTCTGCCACGTTGGCGAAGCCAGTGGTGAGGATCTGGAACTCTTTGGCTGTGTGACATACTGTGGGAAGGTGGGTAGGGGTGCAGGACTGCCCCACAGATGCCCAGAAGGCAGATCTGTGAGTCCTAGGGCTGGAGCCTGACTTGGGCCTGTGCAGGGCCATTGGGGCTGTTGGGAGGACCCACTTTTATGACCCCATTCAAATGTCACCCCCTCCGTGGAGCCTTCTCCCCTGCCCCTGGCATGTGGATGTGGGCCCACTTCCAGTTGAGCGTGCGTTGCCGTGTGCTGTGCTGGTCTGTTCACCAGTCTGTCTCCTGTGATGAACCAAGGTGTGAGGCTCACACAAACCTGGCATGTGTGACTGTCTCCAGCCCCCATGGAAACATACTCTGCAGCTCAGCAGGGGCTCTCTGCTGGGCTCTAGAACTGGCTAAGTGCTGTCACCAAACAGGAGAGAATAAGATGGGAGAGGAGCAAGAACCAGTGGCACACCTGTGGCTCTGGGCTGTTTTTCCTGGCCCAGAGCCTGTCCTTCACTAGCTCCCTGCACCACTCATCAACCAGTGCCTGGCTGAATCCCAGAGGACCCTGGCCCCAGCCCTGCCTCTGGGTTGTCCCAGGGTCCCTGATCATGCCAAAAACCCCTCAGGCCCTGCTGCTGTCTCAGCCCCTTCCACCTGACACCGTGAGCCAGCAGAGAGGCAGCTGGGTCAACACCTCTCGTCACAGCCACCTGGCTAAGGTGGGGCCATAGTGCCATTCCAGGAGCCCAGAGGAGGGGGAAATGAAGTCACTGGGAAGGTGTCAAGGTGGGACTCCGAGAAGGTTACACAGTGAAACACCTACACCCAGAGAAATGGCCCCACCACCTGCAAGACCAGGATGCCCCTTCTGCAAGTGGACTTGTGTGGATAGACTCCCAGCCCCCGGGATAGGCGTTCCGTGAGCCAAGGTATTGACCTGGTGGCTTCCTGGCTCCCTGGTATGCGTCACCCTGCACACCTGGTCCCCTGGAAGTGGGAAGGAGTGAGGAAGCTGGCATGTGACCCAAGGTGAGAGGCAGGGTGGCTTGTCAGCTGGCGAACAAGGACTGCCAGAACTGTGGCTTTGCAAACCATCGTGGTGGACACTGAAGCCAGGTCTCCCATCGCCCCAGACTAGAAACAGGTGGTGCCTGGGACTTGGGTCCGGGCACTTCGCTTGACTGAGTTTGGTGTTCACTTTGGTAAAGTTACTTCACCTCCATCACCTCAGGGAGCATCAGGACAACCTGCGAGGCAGCCCGGCTGCCTTCCTCTAGGACTGAAGCACAGGGGCTCAAATGGCTAACTCACTTGCCTCAGGCCCCACGCTGCCCAGGGCACAGGGATAAGGGCATTCTGCAAATAAAGACAGGGAAGTGGTGTGCCAGGCTCAGGGTAGTGTGGGCTAGGGCCCGGGGGGCTTGTGCTATTGATGGCCTCTGATGGGGACAGGGATCTAATGGGCAGTGAGCAAGAGCTGACCGTTAAATATTCATTGATTTTGTGAGCCAGTTGTTAAAACAACTGGTAGCTTGAAAGCGGACTTGGTGGGAATATTTAGACCACAGAAATTGGCAAATTCTAAATGAGGACTTTTTTTTTCTGGAAAGCCACTTCATTGTCACACCCCTGTATGGGGGCCCTGGTCACTCTCTCTCTCTCTCTGGGGCAGGCAAAGTCCCAGGGCCTGTGACTAACAAGTTTATAGCAATCTCCACCCCTGCCCAACTGCCCGGGCCCAAATCCCCTCCCCAGCCCACCTCGCCCCACGCTCCCTCACACCCTTGACACTTCTGGGTCCTTTGGCATGAGGCAGGTGGCCCTCCCCAGGGAGGCCCTCTAGGCCAGCTGTTCACGTAGTCCCATCTGGGATCCCCAAGACAGAAGCACACAGGGGTCCCATGGTTACTAGGAGAGCTGGAAGGGGTTGAGTTTAGGGGCCGTTTCTGGCTAGGATCAGGAACATGGCGAAGAAAGTTCTCAAGTGCCCGTAACCTGTGAGAGATGCTCATACCTGGAACACCCAGAACCACTCAGGGACCTTGGAATTGCTATGTTAATGGTACTGATGAGCTAACCAGCTGGGGCGGGCCAGGTGCCACTGCCTCCTCCCAGAACGTAGGCAATCGCAGCTAATTATTGACAAGTATAGGTATTGGGCCGGAACACCCTCATTATTGCCCATTAGCATCTCCTGAGTGTGCTCTGAGGCAGGCACACTGCACTTAACCGAGAGGAGGCAAATCAGGACAGTAAACAGGAAGGACCTAGGGAGTCCTCACCCTCCACACCCCCTCACTGAGGTTTCTGGGCTGTGAGCTCTACCAGCCCAATGTGGTCCGAGCTCCCCGGTTCCCCTGTGCCGTTTCTTCCCCCTAGGACAGGGCAGGGCCCACAGGACCCCTGAGAATTGAAGCCCTTGGTGGGCAGTGAGGACGTACATCCCTCTCTGTACTGCTGCTGCTGCCTGACGACTTCTGGGAGCACAGAGAGGGCAGGGCGGGCAGTAGGGGCCAGGAGGTACCTGGATGTTTTCAGGAGATCATTTTGAGCAAAGAGCTGAGAGACACCTTATGGATTTGGGTGTCCCCAGTGAGACCCAGACAGAAACAGGAAGGTCAGGAAAGGTGCAGACAAGCTCCTGCAATGCACAAGCCACCTGCCTCAGTGAGGTCACCCCGGGAGCTGGATGGGGAGAGAGCAAAGAGGGACTCAAGGACTTTCAGCAAAGGAAGGTTGAGGGGAGACAGGAGGCGCAGTTTCTCCAACCAGGGCCGGCTTCACTGGTGTTCACCTGTGAAGTCACATGGGCTCTGCACTCAGGCCCCGAGCTTGGTTTGATGCTCTGCTGTTGCTGTCTTAAAATTCCCAATAATTTTGAACAAGGGGCACGACACTTTCGTTTTGCACCAGGCCCTATAAATTATGTAGCTGGTTTTATCTCCAATCTGAGGGGGACTTCTCTTCACACACATGCACAACACAAACATATACACACAGACACATATACACACACAGGCCTTACCACACACCACATATAAACACTATCTGTGAAAACACTCTCCCCACACACTGTACACACATCCTGCACATGGAGAACACACACTATACACACAGTCATACCACAGTTCTCAGTTCAAAACAGCTAAGAAATTGTGTAACTTGCATATAGAATTCAGCTCCCACCTTTCATTTCACATATTTATTTGCACACACATTTACACTGAGTACTAAAATCATATTTATTGGGGGCACCTGCTATTCATTAGCCTCTGGGCACAGTAGCTAGCTCAGAAAACTAGGGAGGTCCCATCACAATGGCTTACAAGCTAATGCAAACAGGATATGGATGTTAGCCCAATTTCGAAGAGTTTAAGACCAACACGTATGTGCAGGCTGACCACTCGAAGCAGCCCCAGGCACAGCCAGGCTGCTTTGAAAGTGGGTCATCCTGCCTTCTGCCCTGCCCCGCCCCCATGCTGTGGGGCCAAGGACATGATGTCCCCCATTCTTCCCACCTCTGGGCACTCACTACCATGAGCAGGGTCCCATTTGCCTGCCCTACTCCTGCACAACTCCCGCCCCGAGACCTGGTCCCAGAGTTTGTGTGTAGGGGGTGGCGGGGGAGTGTGCAGGCTTTGACCGCACAGCTCCTAGGAGCAGGGACCATGGCTGCATCCAGCTTCCGGTGTTCTGCTTCAGTGGGTTATGGCACCAGGTCTGCAAGCTGAAAAGAGGGGCAAAGAGGTAAATTCTGCAACAAAAATCTAGTTAGGGAGTCAGATCAGAGCCCAAGGGAATTGGGGTGGGCTCTGACCAAAGCAAGGCGTGTGGGGAACCCAAGTCACCAGCAGGTTCCTTATTTCCAAACCACAAGCCCTCCAACGACCAGCGCCCTCTTCCCGAGCAGGAACCACCCAGCCCTCACATCAGTCATGGCCAAAGGCACTGGGGCAGGACAGCTTGTCC